AGAGAGAGAGAGAGAGAGAGAGAGAGAGAGAGAGAGAGAAAGAGAGAGAAAGAGAGAGACAGAGAGAGACAGAGAGAGACAGAGAGAGACAGAGAGAGACAGAGAGAGACAGAGAGAGACAGAGAGAGACAGACAGAGACAGACAGAGACAGACAGAGACAGACAGACAGACAGACATACATACATTGAGACACACACATACATACATACATACATACATACATAAACCTATTTAACTATATATATGTGTGTCTTACAAAAAAATATGTGTATATATATATATGTATGCGTGTGTGTGTGTATAGAAACATATGTAGAAATTGCTCCTCACCATGGCAGGAACTCCAGTCTTAATGTTTACCTAGAGTTGAAATACATGTTCAAGCCCGAACTCGACCTCGCAGTCAAGGGTGATTTGTGCATCCTGCAATCGAAGAATCGAAGACTGCATTTCTCTTCGGACATACGACAGATACCTTGTGAAGTAGTGAAGATGAGCCGCAGCCGTGTGCAGTTTCAGCTGCCACTTGCGCAGTCTGCCAGTCTGCCTTCCCCACGCTCCTCGAGACGCCTGCTTTCGAAAGTTGACGCAGGTGACACCATGCCTGTATACAATGACATCATCGGAGCTTGGAAGCCTCAAGTCCGGAGCCTTGTCTGCAATCTCAAGTACGGTTTCTGCCGTGCCACGACTGCAGGGTCGGGGGGAGGAGGGCCGGTGGGGGGCCGGGGAGAGAGGGGGGCGTTCTGCATTGTCACAACTTTCAGGGCTATGTACAGTAATTAGCATTGGCAGTAGGCCGGTAGGCACACCACTGTATGGAGCCCCAGTCCAGTCAGACTAATGTGTTTTCGGTGTAGGTTTTGACTTTGGCTTCCGCATCCTGCTGGGTGGAAACACACGACGAGAGCAAGTAAATGCATCCAACACAGCAGAACCTTCGAGGGAACTGATCTTAGTTGCCACGTGATGTAGGTTTCAGGGTTCGGACTTTTGTTGGGGGGGGGGGGTCAATGAAAGTGAGCGTTGGGTCGTGCCTAGACACGTTAGGAATAAGCATTTTCTTTACTGACAGACGGCTTTCGATATGTGGCCACCTCAGTGCTTCTCAGTATGAGTCCCTAACAGCCCTAACATTGGCCGCAACCCTAAGTCCTCGCTTACACTGCATCGGCGCCGGCAGATCTGGCTCTTGCGTCGTCTTGGAGTGTGATTCATGTTTTGTCTCTGTCAGGGTCCATTTCTTTTCAGAGTCTGTGTAATAGCTCCCTACTCACAAGCCGGGTTGGCTCGGGAATTGATTGTTCATGGCTTTTTATAGTTTGAGGTTGAAAAAGTGTGAGCATACATCGTGGCTCTTGTTGGGTGCAGTATTGGCTTGCCGAATGTATCTATTACAAACAGCGCCACAAGGCACAGTACACAGATGTTTGATTCAGCAATGGCCTGGTACCATGCCGGACGACGAGTGCTGTGATCGCAACTGCTGCAATTACATCGGCGGTAACCCTACCATGCAGCTGTTCTATGCCATGGGGGCTGCCACATATGTGTCCCGACAGTGTCAGGGCTTTTTGTCTTAACGGGTGCTCTTGAGACATCGATTGCCAGCTGCAAAGAAGAGCAGCCACTCCCCCGCTAGTCAGCTGATGGCCAGCCCCTAAACCCTAAACCCTAAGCCCTAAACCCTAAACCCTACCCTAAACCTATACAGATGAAAGAAGCTAATGAACCCTTCATGGAGAGCCTGAGCGAGTCCCGAACCACTGGCCTGGGCCTGGGTATGTACCCTCAAGCCTCGAAACCCTGAAAGACGCTAAACCCTATAGTATCCTCTCCAACTATTTTTTTGGTATCCGAAATACCAACGTCGTAAGACGCTAAGGCACCAAGCTTTAAATTCTAGGCAGCCTTGGCCGTCTTCCTCTTTGTGAGGGACCTGGCCGAACTTGCAGGGACCTCGGTGGAGGTTTCTTGGTGCACAGAGGAGGTTGGTTTCCCTGGCCCTCGATATGGCTGAGACTTTCCCCTGTTGCTTTCCGGGGCTGCTGCAAAGCCGGATAGATATAGCGCCAAATTTGGATGTTGGCTTTGCCGCTTCTAAAGTTTACAAGCTGCACTGTCTGCAGTGTTCGCGGGCTTCTTTCGGATTGTCGGCACTCGCTTTTGGAAGCGGGCAGCCATTCCCCTCAAGTTATCCATCGGGTCCCATGTCCCAGAAAATCCCCGGGTGATGCTCCCGAATGAAGGGTCGGGTGGACTTCGCATTCAGAAGCGGACATTTGTTATGGTTATGAATGCTATCCTGAGCCTCAAACCACTAGCAGGGTGACTGTGCTTAGCTCGGCCCCACCAAGCTGCTCGAAGGTGCCGCTGCTTTTGTCTTACATGATGCTCGTCGTCGCGCTCATCGTGGCGGCACTTTGGTTTCTGATGCTGGCCTCACGCTGCTTTTCTCCGTGCTGCTGTTCGGAGTCCCTGTTCGATGTGCCACATCCCTGCCCGCTTGAGTGCACTTCGCGGAGCTCCAAATGTTTGGACTACCCCTTCATGACTGCTCTCGGGGGGGAACTGGGCACCCTTGTCCTGATGTTGATCACCGCTTTTGTAGCAGTGGTCCACAGTGACAGTTCCTGGCTGGATGACTTCCTCTTGCCCCTAAGACTGCTTCGGCTCTGTTGGATCATCACCGCGATCGTTGCTACGGTCCTGGCCGCGAAGAAGTACAGAATTATGCGATTGCAGATGTCCCGAGTATCCGGTATTCCGATATCCGGCGACTTACAACTGGATCCAGGACCAGGAACTGTTGTAGTGGTGGGTCTGCCGGTGTCTCTCAGGCCTGCAGGGATAGATTCCGGATGATCCTGTCGCCCAACCCAACAGGCGTGTAATCTTCAGAGAGAAGCCACCCGCGGCTGGGATTTAGAGGTTGTTCGAAATTTGGGCTCCTTTCAGGTGCATTCTTCTGAGTACCCAATCAGGACCAGAAGTGGGGGCAGCCCTCCGTGCAGCCGTTTGCAACGCCGTTTGCAGTCGGTGGCAGTAGAGCTACTCTCGCATATGAAGGGATGAGTTTTTGCATTTACACCTGCAGCTTGCTGATACTCCTCCACTGAGTGGCAGCATAGGACTGAAATCTGCAATGACAAAGCCCCGCAGGGGTCGGAATGCACCCATATCGCGACCCTTATGGCAACCCTTCTGGCACTCCTTAAGGGGGCCCTAAACTCCCCTTAAAGGAGTCCGGAGCGAAGCGAACCAAAGGAAGCCTCCGATCAGGTCTCCTGCACGCTGAGAATCGAAGCCCAAATCGAGATGGAGATGAACTTGAAAGGACCAGTGCATTCCATATTGTTGCTATTTAACATAATTACAACAGTAACTTTCACCAACACATACTGTCGTATAACGTACGCAGTGTTACTTGGTACACAATACCATGCAGCATAAAATGAGCCCTAAACAGTTTTCAGTCGGCTTGGTGCTCCGAGGAAGTCAAGGCTGCAGGAGGATCCCATGCAAAGGAGGAGGAGCGCTTCCTCGCGTGGCTGACTCTGCTGAACCGTCAGAAAAGTTGGGGTACTGCTGACGGGTCCGTATAATTAGCACCCTAAACCCTGTAGCGAAGTTGCGAGTCAAAGACTACATAAGAGGCCCTTGCTTTCTGAGATTCAGATCTGATGTGGCACTGGGGGCCGTGTGGCCGTCGTGTTGCGGACGAAACCTTCCATGTGGGATTGCCTGGATGACACGATGACATCGGAGCCTGCCCGGCTTGTTCCTGTTCATCTCCTGGCAAGACCCATCGGCGTGTTCCAAATTCTGTCAACGTTTTGCAGAAGACGATTACCTTTGAAAGTAGCACGTGCCGATGTTGGAGATCCGAACTGCAGTGTTCAAACCTGCGCCCGTGTGCAAAAGAGCAGTTTTGCATGCTTTCGATTCAGCTTTTGTGATTTAGGAGTTAGGGTTTAGGGTTTGGAGGGACGGGCTGGGTATTATGGCAACTTCAGGCCCCTGTGTTCGGATATAAGGACCAAGGACGCCTGCATCATCACCTACAAGGCCTCGGTGCAGGAGACGTTTCTCGGGCAGCGGCTCCAAAACCCCCAAAAAAACCTGAGCAGGAAGACCCCCGGACTACAACTCTTAATCCTAAACCCTCAACCCTAAATCCTAAGCCCTACTTGCCCTGAAACATAAACCCCAAGCTTCGGCATCCCTGGCAAGCCCGAGCTCGGTGCAGCCCATGTTTGTCTGATTCTCTGCGATGAATTTCTGTCGCAGGTGTAGGGTTGACAAATTCAGGGATGAGAGGGGACCAAGCCTGCACTTCCGAAAACAAAGAGACTGGACGAGAAGCAGCTTTTTAACTCTGAGCCGGCACATGAGTCCCATCTCATGTAGAAGCCTGTAGAATTACCAACCTTTATTCCCTATCTTTCATGAATATACCTCTACTATTAATCATACCAACTTCTTAGGGTTCCTTATAATCACTATACTATATATCTACCCCCAAAACCCTGTGCCAATCATTGAGGCCCGATGAGGCAAACCTTCCCGACACCCCAGCGTGAACCTTGGGACCACAGGGTTGGCCTCGGGTTTAGGGAAGTTTACGGCTGGTCAGGGCTTATGGGGCTTCAGGGTTCAGGGGCCGCGAGGATGACCTCGTCAGGACTGTTGCGATTTGAGCCTGCATACCTGCAATTGAGATGCCTAGGCCGCTGGATTTCTCCACTACATCTTGAGTTTTCCAGACAGCATAATTACCGCTGCTGCAACCCGACCGTGAGGTCTTCCTATAGGTCCTCTGCTCATGTTGTAGAGTTCTCGAATTGCCTCACAGCCGAATGGATGTTGTAGGTCAAGAAAAGGGGAGAGGGACAGAGAGAGGGGGAGAGTCCTCCTGCGAACCCTGAAACTTCCTCAACCCTACCCTATGCCCTATGCAGCCCACAAACACATGCGGCGAAGGAGGATGGGGTCATGAAGCTACGCTTTAACGGCGGTAAAGAGGTCAAGTGGCTTCGGCACCCCGGCTTGGCAAACTTTGCATGAAGAAGCCTATTCACATAGAATGACAGATGACAGGTGGACAGGTCGATTAATCGGCAGACAGACAGATAGGTAGACAGACAGGTTTTAGAGTGATAGATAGTTACATAGAGAGATACACAGGTAGATAGATCAATGTTAGTATGGAGGCATTGGGGTTGACGTAAGGACTCGATGTCGGGAGTTTCGAAATCCTACCTAATTACCGATCTCTCATGCACACACGGAGTGTCACGCATGACATCACACATAGAATGACACATCCACACACACACACAGGGTCACAGACACGGACGCGCACAGCCGGCGCGAACAATCAAGGCGGCATGCGAATGTGCCAAGTTTCGGCACGCGGCACTTGGCACATGCATGTTGCTGGTGTCAGGCCTAATGGCGACGGCAGCTACACGGGCACCATATACCAGACTGAGAGTTCTTTGCTGGTGTGTTCCGTGAGCAAGAACGTGCTGACGATACAGAGCCTCAGGTAGCACTCGGGCGGTGTAGCTTGTGCTTCAGTTTTGTGTTGTCTTCGGCTTCGCCCTGCTAGGGGGCAGGCTGTCGCACAAAAATTTAGGTAAAGACTCGCAGCTACAAGATTCTTTCAGGTACAGGGCAGGCTTTTTGCTGAAGTGCTACACGTGCATGGTTTGATTTGCTGCAGGTTGCCACCTGCCCCGTAGAAAAGTATCCCTAAACCCTCAATCCTTCGTCTCTATGGAGCTGGCAAGTGCGCCCAGATTTTCTCCTCCTGGTGCGCTCTAGGGCTGCTGGCATTGGCGGACGGAAAAGGAGTAATTAATCGAAAAAGATGCGAGGCACTAGAAGCTTAAACACATCTAAACACCAAAACCTACCGCCCTTTGTGCCCAAAACCCTGAACCCTTATCCTCTCGATCCGCGGCGGTCGGCCTGAAATGAGGTCCCGGGACAATCCTTCCGGGGCTTGGAGCAAGGCTGTCCGATTTGAGGGTTTGAAAGTTCAGGATACGGGCTGCTCTGAGGTTTCTACGCGGGGTTACTACAAGAGTGTTCTATAGCGATTACTCAGGGACAGTCCGGCTTCAGGATCAGAAGTTGAGGGGAGTTAGAGGTTTGGGGCTGGAGGGTTTCGAGGTTTGGGTTCGGGCTTTATCAGATTATAGGGTTTACAGCTGAAGAGCAAATTCAGGGGCCTGCAAGGTGAGTATTGTTAGGGTTAGGGTTCCCCATATAGCGCGTTTTAATAGCGATTGTCCCCAGATGGGCAAAGCCCAATTCGTACGTGAAGTCTTGTCCCAGAATTAGGAAGCTGGGAGCTCTCCAAGGCCTTGTCCTCTAAGCATGCGCTCTGGGAGCTTGAACCTGTAGTACTGTAGTGCTATTCCTCAGAATCCTATACCCAGATAGCATTGTAGCTTAGAGGCCCCAAGCCACTGTCGAATTGTTCAAGCACCAAAGCCTAATACCGCCATAGAACATGTATAGCAACCCTCACCGGAGTCGTTATCCAAAGCCGTCCACATTAGGTTCATGATGGTCCTGCGGGAAGCACAGATGGACTAGGTTGGCAATTCCCTGGCCTGTGACTAGATACTCTAACTCCCTTGCCTACTCTGCACAGACATCCTCCAAACATCATGGGTCATTGTTAATTGCTGAGTCCTTTGGTCAGCTTACGGTTCAAAGCTTAAGTCTTCACGCTTTAGGGGCGTTACGTTCTGCCTACAGTTCGTACAGTTCGCGGAGCTCTTGCCGGACGGCTTTGACAAGCCTTGATCTTTCTTGATTGCAGGAAGTTCGCTACAGCCGGCTCGTGGTGCCCTTGCCAGATCAAGCATCCCGGACCCACATGGTGTATTTCAGTTAAATATGTCTCTGCATGGACGGAGGAGGGAAGCCTGTGCATGTCCCGGTGGAGCTTGGAACAACGGCTCACTCCACTCGTCCAAACACCCCTAATGCTCTGGTGCATGGAAGATGGTGCTACTTGTATATCGAGCTTGCCATTCTGCAGATGCGCGGTAACAACCGAATAAGCTGGTTCAAGACTGGCAAGGAGTGTACAGTAGTATGCAGTCTCAGCTATCTGCGACGCTGACCGAGAACCCTATACACCCTAAACGTCTAAACCGTAAACCGTTTGGTATGCACCAAGACATGCCAAGGTCAATGCCATGGCCAAGGATCCAAGAGCTGTGACAAAACGTCTGTTGCTTAGCAAGAGCTGCGACTCAGGGTTTTAGGGGGGGGGGGGGGGTTCGCAACGCAGGATGTAGTAATGTGTGTTCTAGAGGTGTCAGTCCTTGCACAGATACTTCGGATGATCAGTAATGTTGAAATATGTCGTTGTTCTTCACTTGGCACGCGCGCCCTCCATGCCGCAACAGGTGTCCTCGACTACAAGGACTGCGACCGCCAAACCATGGAGCAGCATGGTTTCTTGGGCAGTGACAGGAAGGATGAGTTGACTCGGGTGGATACATCCATGCTACCTTGACTGTGACCACTGGAGCAACCTAACCCTAATCGCAACCTTAATCGTAACCTCAGTCATAGCCCTCATAGTAACCGTAGCTCTGTGTAACTTGATGACCACAAGTGCTACTATAAGGGTCACTGCAGCGGTGAGGGTTACTATAAAGGTTACTGCACCAGCTACAGCAGCGGTTGCTATACAGGTTCCTCTGTGGCTTCCTATTAACATCTCCAAAGGTGCAACTGTAGCTTCTGCTTATTCTCAGACTCCGTGGAAGACTTCACAGGACCGGCCCACGGGTTCCGGATTTAGAACTCTTGGTAGTCTCAATACTTATTACATG